ACTCGGCACTTGCTGGCCGGCTGTCAACGCGATCGCCTCCGCAGGGATTGACTCACTAGACAAGACACACTCACTCGATGAGCGACGCGCACTAAATGACTGCGGACTAGCAGGGTTTATATAGCTTTCGACCTATGTTCGAGAACATTCTGGGCTAAACAGCGGCGTAGCTAGAGGAGGCAATCTGTCCCTGGGTGCAGAATCCAAGGGGTGCCAAACTGATGTTACGACATTTTAGAATTAAATGTTTTCCATCCTTGGCAAGCAGTATTGGGGCGAAATCTTCAGTTGTCCCTGGGCTTCGAAAACCCTAGTTACAACTCTGGGGCTAAACCGGTAAGAATTCGTTCCAGAAGGTTCTCCAACTGTCCATGGTATATTGCCAAATGGGCGATTTCTTGCCAAATGTTGCAACCCTTCCCTCCTTGCTATTTTATGACAACTCTAAAACTGCCTTTTAGAGAAGCCATCTCACCACGCCTCGACATTTCGTAACAATATTTACATGATTAAAGAATGTAAGAAATCAAAATATTTTAAGTTATTATCTAATATATACAAAGTGACAAAAAATCTCATGACCGGAAAAGTGTGGTTATGCCACTCAGAGGGTTGATGAAAGAAAAAATTATATAATTAATTACTCTTTAGCAAACAAATACTGTTTAAATATGCTTCTTTATGAGCATGGCCTTGCCACTCAAAGGATTAATACATACCAATATTCCTCCAAGTTTTTGAGCTAAAGTAGCATGCAACATTAGTGATCGGTATATGAGCTCACATGATGTCTGATGTCATAACAAATTCAGTCTTCCTTATGTTCCGTGAATTACAGGCTGGAATGAAATTCTTAGTCATTTGGTTATGTATATTAGCTTTAAAAAAAGTCTTTATGCAAAATTATTTTCCATTGTTTAAATATCCATTTCTTTTTGTAATTAATTCTCAGTTGACTTTTGCTATTATTTCTCAGCTAATTTATTCACGTCCATTGTTACATGTTTTCTCACATTTGGGTTGTTAATATTGTTATAATTCTTTTGATTTTTGAAGGGAGGTTTATTTTCATTTGTGGGCCCTCATTTCACATTTATAAGCTTTTGTGTTATCTGTTCTCTTTCTATTCCTTTTAACCAGTATGCAAACATGGGTATTTTAAGCCAAGCATTTTGAAAGGTGGTGGGACTATTAACAGAACAACAAAATACTAAATAAAGCAATGATCAAACATGTAAAAACACAAGCGACCAGTGTTGCAAATTGAGTAGCCATGTGCTCAGGGCTATGATCACGGGATTTCCAGTTGCCTCTTTGATTTGAATCTAAATAAATTATTACTTTTTATTGTAAAATAATTTTATACATATATTAACATGCATGTTTTTTATGATGTAGTATAAAATTTTTAAATTAGCAAAAAGTAGAAAGTAGGTAGAAATAATTGAGTAGTAGAAAATTGCAAAATTCTGCAAACATAAATTTTAGAAACAGAAGTTTGTAAAAAGTAGCAAGTTTTGCGAAAATTTGCGGAATCTGGCAAGATTTAGATCTTTGCCATAATCCTTGGGAATATATTATTATGATCATTTAGAATAAATTTATACTTTTGTTACTAAAGACAAAAAATCTTTTGTGAGTAGAATCTTTCTTTGCTAGTGCCTTTTTCTTGCTAAATAAGTATGATTTAATGTCATATATCAGTTATGTTGTTTTTCCTGTATTTCAATTAATATGAAATAGTTTATGATCTTCTTTAATGATTTTCTTCTGTAAGCAAATCCATTTTTTAGTTTTAAATTGAAAGGACAGAAATGTGTGTTTGTGTAACAGTATAGTTTGTCAATACAATACTTGCTTAATAGTTTGTCAATACAGAACAAAGTCCGAAATCCGGACTCTTCGGCGATTCCGGATATTAGATCATGACTTTAAATCTAGTAAGATGGCATGTAGGAATTATAAAATTTAAAAATATGAATTCCTGATTTATGAAATAATGAAGTACTTATGATATAAAGGATATCAATATTTACAAAAAAAAACTTAATATTTATTTGTGTGCCTTATTAAACATTTCTTTCAACGTAAGTTGTTTAAGTTGCTTCTTTTTTTGGGACTAATACTTTCTCTTTAATTCTGTAGACAGACAGAATCTCTTGTTTAGTTACATTGTTGGATTCCTTTAACTGCTGTGTCGAGAATTCTGACTAACTTGTTAATCGAAAATTTTTCATTTTCAGTAACTTCTCTCGCTTTCTTTACTATCAGTAGTGGTATTTTCTGGATCTAGAACCATACTACAGATTTCACCATTCATTAATTGATTGATGATTGAGAAGTATTGTCATCGCGATGAAAAACTTCTTTTATATCACCTCATTTATTACCGCTTCTTCACATTTCTTTACAAAATCCGTTAATTGGAAAATTTCATCTTTGTTTTGCAATATCTGAAAAGCCTTAAAATTTGCTGCTATCATCATCAAATTTAGCTATCGTTCACTATACATATTTGGCTATGCATCATGAGCTTAGCGACTAACGACAAGTTGTTCTGTTAAATTTTATCTTGGTACTATCACGCACTGAGAGAATTAAGCCTGACTTGTATTAATTTAGTTATTTATTACACTTATGTCTATTTCTTTCACATGCTTAAGGCTTATCAGAATTCAGAATAAATAAATTCTCACATATACGTAAGCCTTATTGAGTGTCGACGCTAGATATCTTATCCCCTGATGCAGTCTCTGTGTGTCCTAAATTCTGCGACCCGGTGCAGCTATACGAGCCCTGGTGCTGGTTCTGGGTTTATGTGAATAACAAATCAGTTATTCTTAATTCAAATAGCCCTAAATGTAATCTTTGGGTTTATGAGTATCATCAACAAAATCTATTTTTAGCATATGGAAAGAAATTTTTGTTAAATTTTTCCTTGTCAACATTTTTAGCACATTTAACTTAAATCTATAATCATCGTCAAGCGTAATGTCAACATAAAAGGTTACCATTTTCCTTTATTATCTAATTACTAACATAAAAAAATTGTTTAGGCATCGATACATGAGTCATTACTCAAGTTGTCATGTGTTGATAAACATGTGGTGATGAATGAAAAGTATAATAAATAATTCACCAGGTTGGTGTCAGATCAGCGATGTATCTACATGTGTAATGTTTCAGTTTGAGATGTGTGCCAAAAGCAGATACACAGCAACAGAGCCAAATTACTGATCATACAAATTTATACTAAAATGACTGTTTCTTCAATAATAAGGTATTTTATTTAGTGTTGAAGTGAAATTAAGAATCGAGACTCTCCAGAGGTTTTATTATGCATGGAGGGGGGAATCAAATGCACATGCGTAAAGCCTACGAGAAAAACGTTGTTGGTGGTCTTGAGGTCCATATTTTACATCATTCCAGATATTGGACATCCAGATTTTGGACTTTGTATTGTAATAATTACTTGAGTTTTGAATTTGTTTGAGTTACAAACTGATTTTTTTTTCTGTTTTTAATACATTATAAAGGTATATTAAAATGTGAAATATGGATTTTTTTACTTCCTTGTATGAAGTAAAAGAAGTATCGTAATGGCTTGAGTTTAAGATTTCAGAAATATCTATTTATGCCATTCCATACATTTTGACTATTTTTTAGTATGACATTTCTATGTATAGAACAAAATAAAGGACTTTTTATTCCAAAATGGACTGTGAAATGGACTTTTCGGGGCATCTGTATGTATGTATGTATGTATCGTGCATAACTGAAAAACAGTTAGCTGTATAATGTTGAAATTTTGTATATGGAACTGTTATAACATCTTGCTATGCACCTCCCATTTTTATTTCAGTCGGCAGTACCAAGAGTTTATATATATATATATATATATATACCTGCCCCTCTTACCTGTCCTTTATTTTCACAACCATTGGTTGCAGACATATACTTCCAATTACAAAGGTAATGTTTTTGCAGTTTCAAATTTTTAAAAAAATTAGGCAATAACTCAATTTAACTTTTAATGGGAACTACCAGTTTCTGTACTTATTTTGGGGAAAGTTTTATACTTGTTATGAAAAAATAGAAATACAAGAAGTTTGTCTCCCATACTATAAATTTGATCAGGATATTTAATTTCAAAATTTGCAGGTTTTGATGTCATTTTTAATTATCTTGAGGCATTGGTTAATTAAGTTAGAACAATTTATGGAAATAAGTTTAAATGAATTACAGCAAAAAATGTGTATACTGAACAGGGATATGAGCGAATCATGTGGTGTCCACATGAAATTTTTTATGTCCAGGATGAATCAAAAGTTCTCCATATCTTGTTAAAAGCAATTTCTGTTGTGGAATCTGGCATTATCTAATTTTAAAACTTTTTATGAGGAGACAGATTAAAATAAAATCAATCGTACAGGATGCATTTCTTACTGCTATGCAAATCAAATTATAATAATGAATTTTTTTATTATATTTTCTTTGAAATACTACCTAACATTTTGGAAAACTTATCTACAAAATCAAAATGTCTGTTATTAACATGTTGACTGTCATCATATAAAAAAGTTTTTTTGTCTGGTATTATCATTATTTTTATTAACATATAAAAATATCCAGAAGCTATGCAATTATATCTGTTTCTTAGACTATAATAAGTTTATTCATAAAATTAATTATAGACGTAATTAATATAGATTATAATTAATTTTGTCCACATGGGCCTTATCTATTAAGATAAGGCCCATGTGGACAAGATATGTTTGACCTTTTAAGTTTTATGTATATTATTTAATGTTACTTCATTCAATTATGCATAGAATTTGTTTTTTCTTTAGAATACATGTAGTGGAACCTTAATCACATTATCCAAAATAATACAAATGGCCTGTTAGGCTAATATATGTCGGGTATATTTAGATAAAAATGGAACTTTTAATGTATTAAAGTAAATGCTTATATTTATATATATGTTTGCTTATTTTCAGAAAGGAAGACCTCTTCTAATGTTGAAGATGATGAAAATGATGTGTCGTCTGAAAAACCATCAGATCTGGATAGTAGTGGAGGTGAAAGTGAAGAAGATGATAATGGTGATGATAAATATTTGAGTGATTCAGATTTAAATGCTTTCAAGGAACTTTTTAAAGCTGAGTCAGGTTTGAAGTAAGATATTGTAAATTTATTATACCTCAAAGAAATACATTCTTGATCAATAAACTCATCATAACTAGGAAAATTATTTGATTATGATGAAATTGAAATAAATGAGATGAAAAGGGAGTAATTTAAAAAGAAAAAAAGGTTAAAAATTAAAAAGGGGTTAGCAATTAAAAATTTATTTAGTTAATATGTATTCAGAAGCATTTCACATTAATATGATATGGGATCCCTTCTAATGGCAATGCATGATGATATTTGTTTTTGCCTGTGTTCATATAAGCATCAAATACTGTCCTGTAGCATTTGCTGTCAGGTGTTCTGTAATAGCTCAGCGAGTTTATGTGTGATGCAAGACGTGTGTGATCAGAGCATCTAATATGTGTTGCCTATTTATTTGAGGAAAGGTTTGAAAATTTGGCAAGCCAAGGAATGTTTGTGGAACAAAGCAGACATTCCTGACTACATTTGTTGTGTGCAAATGCCCATGTCTTGCTGACAGATGGCTCCAACAAATACAATACTGTTCCTGAGCTGCCAACCTTGTTGGAACATTGGTAGAAAAAAATTGAAGGAACAGCTGTAAAAAGGTTTTTATGCTAATTTTATTTAGTTAAGTTCCATGACAGGTGGTTGATTGGTAGCTGAAAGTCAAAATTATCACATACTTCATTGGAATTAACCTTTGCTTCTCAGAAATATGTAGATTTTTATGCGCAATAAATTCTTCAGTCTTTCAGCAGGTGTGGAAAGAGTAAAAGGGAGTTGCTTAATATTCTGATTTCAAGTTCTGTACAAGTAACTGGGTGAAATTTTCATGTGCAGAATGTAGAACATGTTATTAAGAGGGTATTTGAGAGATTGTGAGGAATGGCATGTGATTGGGAGAGTGGAAGCAAAGCTGACACTGATACAGCTCTGTAATCATCTAAAAAGAGCTAAAAGCATCAAGTCTAGAATCTGGAAATGATCTAGATGATAAGCTTTATGTAAAAAATGTACCATAATAGACTCAGGATTCTCATGCTAAAAGAAATACAACCTAGACATCTACCCAGATTGCAAGGAAGTTCACTGCAACTCCAAGAACTCAGCTATCTTGGTATAATGTGAATGCAACTGCATACTAGAGGGCTGTATACAAAGAAGCCTGTGATTTGTGTTCCACTGACTCGGGCTTCAAAATTTCACATGGTTGCAGTGGTACAGGGTTAATCGTGACTGGGATATTATGGACTGAAACCAAGTTCTCTTTACTGATAAATCTCATTTTTTGTTTGTAGAGTGATTCCAGGCATGTTATGCTTTGGGTGAATCAAAATGTATACCATTAGCCTGCCTGAAAACATCTATGAGAAGCTATCGGTGCAATGGTAGACTTATGGTGTGGACAATCAGTATTTTTAATGGCTTTATAAATGACACATTTTTACAAATGCAACTCTGAATGCTGAAGTATATAGTGATGAGGTTCTTGACCCTGATGTTAAATTGTTTAGGAGTGTATAATCATTAATAACTTCCTTCTAATGGACGATGATGCTCTTTCCCTTTATGTTGCACTATTTCATGATTATCTTGAGATCCAGCAGATGGAGTTCCCCACATGTTATCAAGATTTAAATCCAATATAATATGTGTGGGACACACTAAGGTGCTGACTAGCATCAATTCAGTCTCCTCCTACACTTTCCAGGAGCTTCAAAGTGCTATTCATCATTCTTTGTTACTCCAGGAACTTCAAAACAGTGTAATACTTTGCATGGAAAATCATTGCAAAACTTGCATTATGGTCAGTGGTGATGGCACACTTTATTAATTTTTTCTGTATATCTCTAAAATATTATAACACTAGCGTTTCTTTATTTCCCTAACCCACTTTGTATCATATATCATATGTTCTTACTTATTTTATTTTTGAAATATGTAATTTTGTATTTTGAAGATAATGTCAGGCATGACAAAATAAAGATCTTGTGCAAGGTCTCTGTTCTTAGCTCAAAATCATTCAAGTGACATCAGTTTTTATAGTTATTCTTTTAATTTTTCACGCCAATGGAAAAACAACTGATTTCAAGATTTTCTCATACCTCCCAAAAAATTGCCAGGTCCCTTGTTTTTAATTTATCTTAGTTTAGATCATCTGTTTCAAATGAAGTGTAGAATTACTGCTGACTGAAACTGGAAGTTCTCTAAACAAAATGTGTAGAGACATTAGGTTATTTCCAAGCAGGTGAGATGAAAAATTAGCAATGCCCTCACCAGGACTCGAACATGGACGTCTCGAATACGCGTCGAGCGTGCTGACCGCTACACCATGAACTTAAGGAGGTGGGAGAAATATCTTATATAACTCCCTTTTAAAGGTGACTGGGGTTTTAAGGGACCCAATCACCAACTCCTGGTGGTGAAGAATCATCATTCACCACCCTTTAGTTCGGACACCACTGTAGAGACATTAGGTTATTTCAAAGCTGGAGAAATGAAAAATGAGCAATGCCCTCACTGGACCTCTTGAATATGTGTCAAGCATGCTGACCACTACACCATGAAGGCATGCTAAGAATTCGAGAGAAATACCTTATAAATTTATGTAAACAAAATATGAGGACATTGGCATTACTGTATCTTAATGAAACTTAAATTGTGCATCTTTCATTTCCCTGTAGTAGTTTCTTGAAATAGGTTTTATCCCAAAAGGCCTATTAGTCTCAAGAGGTTTGTGAAGCATTCTATGAAGATTGAACTAAATTTTGTTAGATAAATATGTGTGCTTAATTCTCTTGTAAATTTATAAATGTGATATTATTAAGTTTATCCACATGATTATTTGGAAATAAATTTTTAATCTTGTGTTCTTTCTGCTTAAAAGCATGTTGCTAATTAAAAGATTTTCTTACAAATTTGGATTTTCATTAGCTTAAAATTTTAAAAAAATTACAAAATGAATAAAATTAGTTAAAATATTAATTAAGTAAAATTAAATAATTAGATAAAATTAGAATGTAAACCTCCACGTTTTTTATATTTCAACGTTGGCAGTTGTGTCATTGCTAAATAACAGACTATAGGATGTTATGAACATATTGCTGGGCTATTTTAGTGTTATGAGAAATTACTAAAGGTGACTGGGTACTGTAAATAATGGTTTCTGAAATAGTAAAGTCAGTTATAATATATATGAGTACTTTTCCGTTTCGCCGGCGCAAATCTGGCCAAGCAGACATTTTTGCCGACAACAGACAGTATACACATAAAAAATGTTGACAAATGTTAGTTCTAAGAAATTTTTATTCTGAAGGCATAAACATTTTAATATCGTGTAAAATTTTGTAAAAAGATAATAAATAAAAGCGATAAATTTGTAAAAAAACATTAATTTAAGAATTTACTAGATGCTTTCATGGTACAACATCCTGCTTCGTCGTTTCATATCACATGATCCCAAGTGATATCATCTCACATAAACTACGCTACAAAAATCTAATTCTCACTGCAATTACATACATTAATTTCAAGATAAATCTTAATTTGGAATACAATTTAAATGCAAGAAATATTTCAATTTGTACAGCTAGCTTATTCAGAAATTATGTAAAACCACAGTGCTTTACTTGTTAGTGTATTCTCATTAATGACTTATCCATCTGCCTTTGTGCCAGGCAATTCATCAGTATCACTTACGAGCTTAAGACAGCTCTGTGATTTCTGTCAAATTCATTTAGTTGATTGTACCATTGTTAGGAGGGTCCTAGAAATATTCTCCTTTGCTGTAGTTTGGAAAGTAAATAGCAATACCATCTAAGCAGTCTGAATGGACTGTGGTGATGGCGATAAGGAGCGCGCCTTGCGCCCTCCGATAAGTGTGGCAACCCTAGAGGAGAAATTTCTTACGAGTAGCGAGCAGAGCGAAACAGGCAGGCTGTCGGGCAGCGTGCGCGAAGTTCCTAAATAAAGTTTAATTTTTATTGTGCACTATGTCTTGTTAATATTTATATTAATGCAGTAAGAACATAATCTGTGATATGGAATTTGAGGATTGGTGGTAAAAAACATAACAGGAAATTTCCATAATGGTAACCTGGACTGTGTTAATCGTTATGAACAGTTCTCAAGCACTTTCGGTTTTGACTACAAGCCATCACTCAAGATCTCCAAACCAGAAGTAATGGATTACATCGGTTTTTGTCCTCCGGGATCACAGATGAGTAGTAATTATAGATCATTTTATAATTCGTTTTTCTACTTATCATTTAATTTAATTTTCTTTTAGTTAAATTTTTGCTTTTTTTATTTTGGCTTAAAAACCTTGCACAATGTCTGATGTTTATGCCGTCCAATTCCGGTTTATAACCGATCAGACCCATCTTTATGGTTATTATGTGTGAAAATACCTTTGCTCTTGCCACCCCCAAACCTAGCACACAATCCATTACTAAATATAATTATGTAGTTGCTCATCTTCCTCCAGATATAGCATCTCTAGTGTGGGAGTTTACTTATGAAACTAGATCCTATTGATCCATATACAAAGCTTAAAACTGAGTTAATAAATCGTGCAGGAGAATCTTCTCAATTCGCCATTATTATCTGGAGAGGAATTATGTTCTTGAAAACCTATCCGATTTGCTTAGCAATATGAAACGTCAAGCAGAATCTTTAAATGTTCCAGATAACTTAATGTTAGAATTATTCCTTCAACGTTTGCCTTCGAATGTTCAGTCTATTTTTGGCAGCGGTTTCCAATTTAACTGCAGATAAAGGTGCAGAAATTGCCGACAGAATTTTAGAAGTAATCCAACCCCAGGGACTTGTGCCGTTTCTCGCCACAGTCGATCAGTCTCTTGAGGATAAATTATTTAAACAAATAGAAAAATTAAACAACGTATTGATCGCATTTCTCTTTCTCGTGGTCGCTCGCCAAATCGCGGAGATCGCAATAAGGAAGAAGCAATTCCAAAAAGAGATTATTCTGTTTGCTGGTATCATAGACGTTTTTGGGAAAA